CCCTGTATTTTAAGCCTAATTGCTGCAAGAGATTCATTGGGTGATTGCTCCGTCCCATGATGGCGACTTGATTCAGCAGAGGGGGCAACAGCTGTCCTTGAATAGTCTCAGTTTTGCTGTGGCCAGGTAGGTTTAGTGCAAATGTTTTACAATGATGAGACTTTTTCAGTTGGCACAAACTATCTGTAAAAAAAAAAAAAAATAAAATTAAGAATATGTTTCCGTAGCCTGTATCGTAAGAGTAGTATTTTATACATAGGTTAAATTATAAGAAGGTATGTCTGTTAGTATGGTAGACCTCACTTGGCTGCTGTTCAGTAATTGTAATTATGAAATGAAGTATCTGAAATACTTTATATTGAAAGAATACTGCTGAGTTTAATTCTGCGTAGTGAAGGGTGTGCTGTCATTAACAGTGGGATGAAGAGTGTTTTAACCTTCATAAATGCAACAAATGTTTGTTTGGAGCGGGGAGACCCCTTAAATATGGTTTTGGACCTTCGGGCAGTCTTTGCAAGCTGGTCCATATGGACAGGAGGGAGAGGAAGGGTCTCATCAGCACTTCCCAGGTGTCTTTATCCTTTGGACTTTCTCTTTCTGAAGTATTTGCAGGTCATGTATTTGAAAGGTTCTTTGACAAGGAGTGAAAAGCAAGGAGAGGGCAGGGTTACATCTTTCGGTTGCTGTGCCAGCTTAGAAAATTGCATCACTAATTTTCTGGGAAGAAACAGAAAACTGCATGGTTTTGAGAAGCTTATAAGCAAAAATCATGCTAATTGGAGATACTATGGAAAGCAAACAGCACCGAAGAGGGGTTCTGCTGTGGTTTGCTATCAAAGACTAGTATAGGATTGGATGTTGTTCTAGGCAACATGTCGAGACATGACTTTCATGTCCCTGCTCTCTCTGCACCAGAATAGTGAGGAAGATTGCTAGATACTTGAAAACTGAAGAATAATTGAGGTTGGCAGGGTCCTCCAGAGGACATCTGGTCCATCTGTGCTCAAAGCAGATCAAGTGGGCTCAGGGTCTTTTCCTAGAGCAGCTGCTGTTTCTTGGCTTGATGGGGAGTTGGATTCCTGCCATGGATCAAATCACCAGCACCTTTGAACAGCCAGCTGCTGCAAGGCTTGCAGAGGTTTGAGTGCTTTTAATTTCTTCTTTTACCTGCAACAGACTTGTATTGCAAGGAAGACAGACATAGATATAGGATTTATCATTACTAGTATTATTATTATAATATTTTATTTTTATTTATTTTTTCTTGAGGTGCAGGAGCAGCTAGAACTTTGCAAATAACTTTATTTTAAAAATACTGAGTTGTTTTATTTCATGCAACCTTCTATGTGCTGTAGGTATTGCCAACCAGGAGATGCCATGGGGGTTATCAACTAAATGGGGTGTGCATTGAGGAGGAATACCTTAAAATGTGTTGTGAATCAGTCTAAGTTGTATATAAATCCTGATATGTGTGAGAGACTTGGAGATTTTAGATATATATGTGCATATGTAGTCTTTTCAAACTCCTACTTGCCATTCAAAGTCTTCTGCTCATGTCAACAGCCAGGAGAAATTTTCTCTAAAATATTGGAGAAAAACATTATCAATTTGTAATACAAACAACAACAACAAGAAGTAGTATTTTGTCATTATAGATCTTGTGTTTAAACTACTTTGTCACCTTTGTGGTTTGAAATGGAAAATTGGGTTTTGGCTCTGCAATGTGCTGCAGTGGCCTGTAGAAGAAAAGAATAACGAAAGAGAAATCTTTAAAATATTTTAAAGGTCGATGTTTGGCAGTTCAGGGTTGCAGGTCTTTCTCAGTGAGAGCTCTGCTCAAGCATTGCAGCACAAACGCTGTAAGTACTTTGTGGTTTGTGCTTTTTACCATAAAAGCATCGATGGTTTCATCAGGCAGCATGGAACATCTAGCCACAATCAAGAGAATTGAAGGTGTCAGCACCTGAACTCGTATATAATTGCTATAAACTAGATACTCAGTATTATTGCTTGGTGATGTAGAACGATTTATTGAAGCATTCACATAAGTGCTCTTTTACTTTGCAAGAATTCAAGTTGTAGCTCATACTTTTTTGGCTGTGGTACTTCTTTAGGTGCTTATTTAGGTGTTGAGGTCTCTGCTGCAAGAGGTGACTTTTACAGCTCCTTATGGAAACCAAAAGTTGGGGGAGGTATGTCAAAGTGGTAGAGTTTTAGCAGTGCAATTCAGGTTGATAGGTTTTTATCAGGCGGTGAGCTGCAGATTTAAAAGAAGTATTTCCCAGGGCAGAAGCAATAATGAGAAGGGATTTAGCAAGGCTCTAAGTTAAGTAGTCTAGATGCATTTTATGCTCTGGCCATAATTCAGTATATTTCTGTTAAAAAGCAATATACGAGGACAAGAAAAGTACTGGGAGCTTGGTTGCAGGTTGAATGAAAATAGGCAAAAATGATCTTTATCATCCAGCTGTTTGTTTCAAGATACAGAAAGGAATTTGTAACTGCAGAGAGTAACTTAAAAAGCCAGTGAATACCCTGGTCACATAAAAAAAAGACATTAAAATTACAAAATTTCAATATGCTGTTTTTTTTTCCTGTGTCTTTTTTCTTTTGGAATAAAGATATAAATGAATAATTATTTTTTCAAGCATAACATATAGATTATTGGGAAAAATAGCGTTCAAATTTGGAAATAAATTACAGGTGATGTTTAAAACCAGGAGTCTTAGTGGAAGCATATGCTGGGCTTCTCTAACAGAAGCTATAGGTAAGGCTATAGGTAAAGCATGCAAATGCACATTGAATCTTTGCTGTTACGTTGGTTGCATTGTGTCCATCTAACTCTGGCCTTGGCCTTGTGTTTATGTTATTCCTGTGCTGTCGTCTTTAGTGCCGTCCCTGTGCATTAGGGCTTGGGCTCTTTGGGCGTCGTATGGACTCTGCACTCCTCTTGTCCTTTACCAGCACTTATACGTGCAAACGTTTTAATTCACAAATATTCTCTTTAGTTGTGTAAGTTCAGACGAGCATTTTATTTCCTGGCAGCTATATTGCTGGCTGACACTTTGAGTTTCCACCTTGCTTATACAGTTACAAGTCATTCATACTTTATGAATACATTTGATTCATGAATTCCAAAATTCACAGTAAACTGGGGAATACGAGTCTTCCAGCAGTCTCTTGTCTGATATTAACCTGTTTCTTGTCCCTATCATAAATGAGCATGACTAAATCTTGCTCCCAGTCCCTTCAGTGCCCCACGGTGGAATATACTATTAATATAACTATTCCACAATGGCATAACCCGTATTGAGATTTAAGCAGTTGTCTTGCTGTTCTTGTGAAATGTTCATGGTGCGGCTTTCTAAAAAATGAAATTTACATTTCAAGTAGATGGGAAGCCATTTAAAAACTCTTGTCTATTAATATATTTCTCTTTCTATATAGCAAAGATAAAATGATGTATTTGTTATTCTATAGGGGAACATCGCTGTTATTAGATATGGGAATGACATTCAGTTAGGATTATCTATATAACAGCATCTTATTGCCATATGAGAACAAGTTACTGTGGTGTTTTCCTAGATGCAGGGGTTTGGAAAATAACCTTGTTTCAGGAAAGACATTAAAATAATCCTTATTCTGGCTGTAATCTGTAATTAATCTAGGTTGAATTAATATTCAGTCTAAAATGTAGAGCCCACCAGCCTTCAGGATCAGGTGAGAGGGAACATGAAGTATTTAGCCACGAAACTGTTAATATTTTTTTCCTCTGCTGTCCATGATAAGCATTTCTTTGTGCAGGAGGGTTGTAGGAGGCAGGAGGAATGGAGCTGCTCGTTTCTCTGCCTTCTCTAAACTGTTGGATCACCAGCACTGGGTCCAGAGGGATGCTCGGCTCCTACAGAGGAACGTATTGAATTTTGTTTCCTTCAAAATGTTGAGCCCTGGCCAGTAAAAGCTTTGGTGTCCCCAAGAATTTTAGGAATGCTGTTACAGAGTTCTGTCCGTTGAGCTGCTCAGCAGCTTCAAATCAATGAGTCAGTAAAGGGAAATAATACGAACAGAAGATAATTTGTTTTAGAGAAGTAGTTATAACTAATTTTGTATTTTCCGAGGCTGAACTATTATATTATGCCCTGGTCGCAGAAGGACGTGGTGTCCTGTTCAAGTATATATAGATTAGACGTGCATAAATTGAATTAATAGCACTTTTTCCTATAGCCCAATAGTTCTGTTAAAGAAACACGGTGAGTAAACCAAACAAAAATGTATTAAGTTGTCTCAAGTTAAACATCAGGCGTTTCTTTAGCTACTTGTTGGCCCTTCACCAGTGTGCCTTTGCTGTAGAGTCAGCCGTAAGTTTTAACAAGACGTGATCCAAAGAGCTTTCTCATTTACATCAGCAATAAAGAAAAATGCATGAAAGAGGGATATTATGGGTTATGATTTCTGTAGGCGTTTGGGTTATAAAATATAATGTGGTCTGGCATGTTAATCCAGAAAAAAGCTCATAAAAAAAGAGGACTCTTGCAGTTCCCCACTCCTATATTTGTAACTTTTTCTCCTGACTCTAAATGTTCCTTGTTACAGAATAAAAAAAGATTTATTCCTGAGTAAGGCTCTTCCCAAAGAAATCCTAATAAATAGACCTTATTTCTCTCCATGAGATATTACTTAAGGTATAAGCACAGGGAACTGAACAAGAAAATCCTTTTAATATTGTTTTTTGCTTAAATTCTTAAATTAAATTATATGAAAAGGGGATTTAAACAGGACTGTCTTCCCTTTGGTCTGTTCAAGTTCATATTGCTACTGGCTCATTTGTTCTGAAGTGAGCAAGGTTAATTAGGTATATAGAAAATTTATCTTATTGCCTTAACATGATGCCTTAGAT